CATCACAAATGGTCTTGCCAACCATGGGAAGATCTTCACTAATGCTAAGAAAATGAACAAGATCCTAAGGTCACACTACTAAAGGAGTGGAGTCAAGTGCAGACCTTTGTTCGTGAGACCATGAGGATTCAAGCTATCCCTACGGATGAGCTAATTGGAATTCTAATGTCCTATGAGGCTAAACATCAAATTGAAGATCCAAGCTCAAAAGGTAAGAAAGTTATTGCTTCCACTTCTAATCACGGTGATGCAGGCGAATCTACAACATCATCTGATGATGATGAAGACATGGCTCTCTTCACAAGAAGGTTCAAAAGCATAATGAGAAAAGGAAGCAATTACAAAGGAAAGAGGCAAGCAAAATACTCAGACGAGAAGAAACACCACAAAGCCAAAGATGAGTCCAAATCAAAAGAAGTAGTCTGCTATAAATGTCGAAAGCCTGGACACATCAAGCCCGATTGTCCTCTTCAGAAAAAGAAGAAAGGAAAGTTTGAGAAGAAGAAGTGTGCACACAAGACTAAAACCTAGAGTGACACCAAGTGCGAAAGCAGCAATGAAGATGCTAATCACGCCACCCTGTGTCTCATGGCTAATTCTAAAGTCGATGAGGAAATTGAAGTAGAATCCCTTGAACTCACTTGTAAAGAATTGCAAGATTTTCTAAAGGAAACTCTTGAACAACTCAAAAAATCTTTGGAAAGAATGTCGGAGTTAAAAAAAAAAAAAGTTTTGAAGTTGACAATTGAGAACCTTTCTCAAAGAGTGTCACTTGAAGAGATGAGAGATGAATTGCACGACCAAATGGAAAAGAATAGTCTCTATCTAGACAAGAATTACTCTCTTAAAAAGGAGATTTCGAAAATCACTATAAGGTTCTCTCTTGGTTCCAAAATACTTGAGCACATCCTTTCAAATCAAATTGCTTGCTATATAGCAAGTCCGGTTTAGGATGTGAGGGAAATGAGAAGAAAGTGATCCTTTTCCAAAAGCAAATGCATTTCAAAGAAACCTTGTATTCCTATTCAAGTTTACAAAGATAATATTGTCAGGCATTTCATTAAATCAACATATAGAAAGTTCCCTGACTGCTCTAGCTGCAATGGGGATGGTCATTCTAAGCATGACTGTTCGAAACAACAAGCCAAGTCAAAGAGGGTGAACTGGAAGTTCAGATACACTAACAATCAAGGACCCAAGTTTGTCTGTGAACCAAAAAAGAAACAAAATTTCTCCTTGATGCAGGGAAAGAAGTCCAGCAAATGGTATTTGAACAGTGGATGTTCACTACTAACTGGAGATGCTAGTACCTTTCTACATATTACCCAAGTTGATGGTGGATCTATTACCCTTGAAGGAAAAGACAAAGGAAGAATAGTTGATAGAGGCACCATCAAGGTGAGAGAGCTAATCATTGATGATGTAGCATTGGTCAAAAGATTGAGACACGACTTGATAAGCATCAGTCTACTATGTGACAAAGGCTATGAGATCAACATCAAGGATGGTATTTGCACAAATAAAGGAAAATATCCATCACAGAACTTTTTTTCAAAAAAAGGTATGGAAATATCTATCTATTGAACAATGGCTGTGAATGTACTCAATATTTAATCTCTGTAAAAGAAAAACAAGAGATGTTGCATAGAAAACTTGGTCATGTCAGTTTGAAGCAAATATCTAAGCTAGCTTCAAAGGAACTGGTAAGAGGTCTTCCGAGAATGAGGTATGAAATGAATGAAATCTGTAATGCATGCTCGTTAAGTAAGCAAGTCAAAATTCCTTTTAAGTTCATAAACACTATTATGACTAACCGAGTATTGCACTTATTTCATATGGACCTCTTCGGACCTCCGAGGAACACTAGCCTCGGAGGAAGCAAATATTGCCTAGTGTTTGTAGATGATCACTCCATATTCACATGGGTAATGTTCTTAGTTCACAAAGATGAAGCATGCAAATCTTTTGAGAAAATGGCATGAAAGATTCAAAATGAGAAAGGATACAACATCACAAGCATCAAAATTCATCATGGTTGTTAATTTCAGAACAAAAGCTTTGCTGATTACCGTAAAGAAAATGGAATCGAGCACAACTTCTCATCTCCATATACTTCACAACAGAATAGAGTAGTCGAAAGGAAAAATAGACGTCTGCAAGATATGGCGAGAATAATGATGATTGAAAGTAGCCCTCCTGCTTACTTTTGGGCTGAAGCAATTGCAACATCATGTTGTATCATCAATAGGGCTTTTTGCGTCCATTATTGGATAAAACACCCTATGAAGGAAGAAAACCAAATATATCTTATTTTCATATTTGGTTGTAAATGTTATATTCTGAAAAATGCAAACGACAACAGTGGTAAGTTTTAACCAAGATCAAATGAAGGTATATTTCTTGACTATTCTACTACTAGCAGAGCATATCGTGTGTTTAACAAAGTTTTGCAGGAAGTAGAATATTCTATCAATGTCAAGTTCAATGACAACATGATGGGAATCCAAAATCTCAATGAAGACCATGAACCATCATCAATGCAGATCAAACAAACTTCTCAGAATCAACAGTTCAAATTATAAGAGGAAATCAAAATTTAAATGCCTAAGGACTTGAGATTCCAAGCAATTCACCCAAAGGAACAAATCGTTGGTGATACTAAAGAAGGTGTACGAACCAGATCCTCGTTTCAACAAGTCATGAACTCACTTGTATTGATCTCTAAAGTAGAACCAAAGGGAATTGATGAAGTCATCAAAGATGAAATATGTATTGAAGCAATGCAAGAGGAACTTCACCAATTCAAAGTCAATGAAGTCTGGAATTTAGTCCCTAGACCACAAGATCACCCAATCATCAGCACGAAATGGGTATTCAGAAACAAGATGAATAACAAGGGAAATATTATTAGGAACAAAGCCTGACTCATTGCAAAGGGATACTCTCAAGAAGAAAGTATTAACTATGATGAAACTTATGCACCCATGGCAAGGTAAGAAGCTATTTGCCTATTACTCTCTTATGCTTGCGATCATGATTTCAAATTATATCAAATGGATGTTAAAAGTGCATTTCTAAATGGATACATAAAAGAACAAGTATTTTATTTAGCAACCCCTAGGGTTTGAAGATCCAAAGCACTGTGATCATGTTTATCAACTCAAGAAAGGCTTATACGGTCTAAAGAAAGCACTCAGAGCTTGGTATAAAAGGTTAAGCACATTCTTAGAGGAGAACGATTTTGAAAAAGGTAAAGTGGATACCACTCTGTTCACCAAGAGGAATAGTAATGATATTTAGTTGATACAAATTTACATTGATGATATCATTTTTGGTTCCCTTAATGAAAATTTATGCAACGATTTTGCGTGCATCATGAAGAACAAATTTGGAATGAGTTTGATGAGAGAATTAAACTTCTTCCTTGGTCTACAAATCGAGCAATTAAAGGAATAAACTTTCATATTCTAAGAGAAATATTCAAAAGAACTTGTAAAGAAGTTTGGAGTAGAAAATTGCAACAAAGTGGCTACTCCTATGTCATCATCATTGAAACTGGACAAGATGAATCACGTAAGTCTGTTGATCCAAAACTCTATAGAAACATGCATGATTAGTTCATTATTATATCGAACAGCTTCCAAACCAGATATATATTATTCAGTGCATGCATTTGTGCCCGCTTTCAATCTGATCGTAAGGAATCGCAGCTCAAAGCTATTAAGCGTATTATCAAATATGTTGCATCTTATCCCAAATTAGGACTATGGTATTATAAGAACTCGGATTTTATATTCCTTGGATATACATATGCTAATTTAGCAGGAAGCAAAATAGATTAAAAAAAAAAACACTACATGTACTTGTCAAATGATGGGCAGTATGCTTGTCTCTTGGTTCTCAAAGAAGCAGAACTCAGTAGCACTATCTACAACCGAAGCTGAATATGTAGCACTAGGCAGCTAATGTGCTCAAATTCTGTGGATGCAACAACAGTTTAGTGATTATGCTGAAGAATGCTCGGGCACAATGATCAAATGTAACAATACGAGTGCAATCAACCTTACAAAGAATCTTATTATGCATTCGAGGGCTAAGCACATTGAAATTCGTCACCGCTTTATTCGAGAACATGTGGGGAACGGAAGCATCTACATTGAGTTCGTTGATTCTAAGCATCAATTGGCAGACATCTCCACAAAGCCTCTAGACAAAGTTGCATTCGAATTCATAAAAAATGAACTTGGCATCATCATTGAGGTAATATGTCATCATCATTGCTCCTAGTTAGTATTACTGCACAAGTACGCAAATGTTCAAAAAAATTATCGTTACACTGTGCCTCTTTACCGTCCTAACAGTAGTGTCATTCCCGATTTTTTTTTTTTTTTGTCTCTACAATGATTTATCTGAGTTGTTAGAATTAATTAGGCAATTGATTGTTTTACTGTTATCTCTCTCACCTTCACCCACGATCCCATTTTCATCTATTTATACACGATCATGGTGTTTCAATTACCATCACGTTCGACGCTCTCAATCTCTCTATTTTAACTCACTCTGTCTCATAATCTTAATCAATTATCCTCTCTTCTCGATACTCTTCATTAATCCTTCAAACATGCCTCTAAAATCATCGAAAGGAACCAGCAAGCCAACTACTACGAACCTTCGGGTTCGCTTGGGCGTCTGTGTCCTCCTTGAAGCAGGAATTCATCTTCACATCTCATTTTTCATCTTATCCTCGTTATTTTCTATCCTTTCCACCCTTTTATCATCTCTCATCATTTTGCTGGGCTACTTTCATAGATCGGAATACTCTTAGCGGAAAGCTCGTGGTAAATGTTACTGGATACATTACTTCTTGGCATTTAGAAACTTTCTTATAATATCTTACGAAGAACCTATTCCGTCTGTGATGCAAATGGATTAGTGATTTGAACTGTGAAGTCTGGAGTAGTGGAGATTATTAGCATAGACAGTATGTGGGCAGTTGAGTCTTGGATGGAACGGAACTTCTTGAAATACGAAAGGGGGAAATATTACAAGAAGGAAAGGAGAAAAAGAGAAAGAACAAACGTTTAGCAGAGATTCTGCAGAGCTAACTGATAGGTCGCCATGAGACTGCAAATCAAGAATGATGTCTAAAATTGCACTGCACGATTCATTCTGATGCTGTTTCCATCTCACCATCCCAAGTCTGGGATTTTCCCACCATTATGTGATTTCCATAGACCAAGCATGAATTGTATGCGTTTGACTTGCTCGGGAGGTTCAACTAACCGGTGTGCGCGTAAACCAGCTCGAACACCAATTGACCATACTAGATGGGGGAAAAATTGAGCAGGTTTGCTTCTCATAGGATCTGCTTGAAAGGACGCATGACAGCATTAAAAGTGAATGAGCAGAAAATAAGCAAGGTGTTGGGACCTCAGGACGGCTAACTCAAAGGCAGAGACATTTCTGTAAGCGATTCTGAGCTCATGAAAATCTTATCCCCTAACCGAAACAGGAGAGATGACCCCAGATTGGATCTCTAAACAGATCACGTCGATGATGGTTGTAGCTTGATTTTTCTTCATTGCAGACACAAAATCAACAGCATCCCAGTTCACGTAATCTGCACCAGGAAGATAAAATGAAAACCACACAATTCACTTTGAGAGTGACTCCAAGACCAGTCGCTCCTGCGCCATAGCTGGTTTTGAATCCAGGATATCTCTCATGTCACGCGAAACTTGCATTCATTGGCAACAAACTGCACAAGTGAATCAGAAAAGCTTTGTTCATCAATTTTTATCAGACAATACAGTTCATTGTCTGTGCAATTTTGCGCAAAGATGGAGGGAAGCTGAGATAGTCAATTTCAAAACCACTGCCTAGGAACCTTACCTTTCATATTTAGAAATGCCTTTTCGACACTGCGGTAGAAACAGTACGAGCCCAACAAACAAGAAGGATGCCAAAATCTTTCCTTATCTACTTTCGACGGGCAATTATACATTCAACGATCAGGCATCCAGGTCGATAGCGCATAGACAATCCTGCCCTTCCAGCCCTGCAATAGCCACTGCCCATCTTCTTCAGTCTCAAAATCCTTATGATAGTAAGATTTCAGCCTGTCCTTCGCCAAGCTCACCATATCCTTATCCAAAGGTAGCTGCCTAAACCCGGCCCTCAGGTTTCGCACGTGCGACATTTTGTACGTCTCGGGCCTCTCGATCCTCTCCGAGCCTTCGCAGGCAATGACATTCATCGCCTTCCTCCCCAATATTTCACACTCAAGCAGCAACCTCTCTGGGGCGTCACGAGGCACAGTTGCCTCAAGCATGTCAAAGATAGCTGAAAAATGGAAGAGTGCCTCCCGGAATCGCGTGGCAAAAAAGGGGACACCGTGGCCACCATTTATGATTCCCAGGATGAAAACATTGGGATTCATCTTTCTGATCAGATTCAGTACGACATCTCGTGGACTCTCCGCCGTCACTGTTTCATCAAGTATATTGTGAAGTCTAAATATGCAATGAACAACGAGGATTTCATCGCTATGGATATTTAGCTCCTCAACATTAATGGTATCCCAATTCTTTGCTATAGCATTGAACTTGAAGGGGACATCGAAAGTTTTGGCGTAGCTCGCCAAGCGTCGCCCAGTTTCCTCAACGATTTCCTCTGGTTTAAATCCTGGTTGTGGCAGATCAATCCCAGTAATCCGAAGCTTAGGTGGTCCACCAGGGCTTGACGAGAGACGCTCTATGAGGCCAGGCCATTGGAAACCATAGAGAATTCCGAAATCAACGATGTGCAACTTGGGTGCCTTCCCCGCCATATTCATTATTGTCTTGTTCGAGAAGAAATTCGAGAGCTTCTTAAATGGACAAGCTGCGAGAAAGAGATGATAAGCCTTCAAGAAATCCACAACCGATGTTGGCCTAGCCATGAGAGTCTTGTAAATCTGAGAGCCTGACCCGGCGAGGCGTGCCTCGAGACCATTCGCAAAATAGTGTGCCATTCTTTGCATCCCATCCCCTGTGGGAGACGCGTGCCTTCTGATCTGCTTGAGCAGCTCCCCTGCGCTTGCTCGATCATCCATAGTAATGGCTTGTGCACAAAGCGTCAAAAGAGTTCTCAAGTCGACCACATCCCTCTTGCGCCTGCCTTGCTTCTTGCCGTGGGTCTTCCCCTCATTCAGCGCTTTCGGTGGGCCATTCTGCATCGCATTCCGCAGAGCTTCACGAAGGGGAGCTTGGCTTCCTTTATGATTGAGCAACACAATATCGAACATCTCCGACCTCACCGTTGATTCGGTGTAAACTGATGAATGCTTGTTCATCCTTCCCTCTTCTAAGTTCCCATCCTCCTGCAAAGGATTTTTCCTTCCCCTGTATCCACCAAAGTCGGCAAACATGTTCTCATCGTTCTCTAGATTTAATGCCAGACTTGTAGCCTCTTCAGATGATTCATTAACGGAAAATTCACCCCTCTCCAGATTAACTAGAATTTCATTTCCAAAAGCAAACAGCTCTCTCGCTTCATCAGCATTGCCATTGAACTGCATAACAGACTCACTTTCAATAAGTCCAGGCAAAGCAACGGCTCCAGTGGTACTGATACTAACGTAGACACCATCCAATGACTGGCCAATTGACGATGAGATGGATTGAGACACCGTGGTGAGGACAGTATGCTCTCGTGATCCACAGTTCGGCTCTGACTCGACCCAGTTAATTGCACCAGCGCTACTACCACATGAGCTCTCGTTGGTTTGATTAGGTGATGGATGTTGATCTGCAGCTGGCGGATACCTCTCCCCAATAACCTCATAGAATGATTTCTCAGCTGCCTCGAGCGCCAAGGCCTCATGACACATGATGCTCTTCTCTTCTATGTCTTCCTCCATAAGCATCTGGTTTATGTACTTGAGAGCTGCATCACTAAAATCATAGTCCTCGGCCGGTTCCTTCCCGAGGTCAGCGCCCAAAGGAGGCGCGTACATGTAGCTATAGGTAGAGTTATTGAACATGTCGTCAATCGTGAGCTTACTAACAAGATCATCCTCTGGTAAAATCGAAAAGGCCAGATCATCACCATCATCGACTACATGCCCATCAATGAAACTATCGAGTTCGTCTGGTGGTCGATCCATTTCTATATAATATGCTGGACTCAGAAGTGCTTCATAACATCAATTGCTCAAAAAGGTCTTGAAAGAACTTGTACCAATATTCATCAATTCGCTATATAAACAAACACAGATGATTCCCCAAAATGATTGATCAACTAAGCGTACAACTTGGTAAAAAGCTTGAAGCCTTTTTTTGGAGCTAAAGTTCCAAGCTTGCATGTAGTTCAGCAAAATGAAACGGAGAATGCAATTTGAGGACAAAGTACAAGCTAATCTTGTTTCAAATTGAAACAGAACGAGATTGAAGACTTCCCTTTTAGGACTCTCTCCGAGGAACAGGGGGGATTCGGCAAGAGTTGGCCTTTTTCTTGAACCGATCAAGTTTGGTTCCGAGAAAGAACAGCCAGGATTCGATTTCAGATTCCTCAGTATTATCCCATGTGATAGTTGACTCTTGAGAGGCCTACATATACTTGTCCTCTGTTCCAATTACGTTCGTCCTCACGTCACTACCCACCAGTCTTTTTATATTCCATGAAAGGAGACTTATCGCTTGTTTGTTTGGTTGTTGAAGAAGAAAAGAGCCCTGCAGATCATTAGATCGACTATAAGTTGCGTGTGAGATTCCATTTGGTACAATTATATATAGAGTATTTCGCAAACTTCTCACAATTAAGGCAAGCATAGTTGGTTAAAGTATCGAGTAAATTCTAACTCGGAAACTGAAAGTCATTCATTCGAATCCCACCAATTATATGCAAACTGTTATGGATTGGAGCTATTTGCATATGCCAAAGGTCTGAACTTCACATGTTCATGAATCTCGCAAGGTAGTCCATAGCCTCTAGGTAGCTAGGACTCCACTCCTGCTTTTTGTATTAAAAAAGAAAATACAAATTTGCCCCCAGAGCCCCAATAAGATGACTTGAATACACCAATTTATGTAGACATCCAAAAACCCTAGTCTCACACCTCCCAAAACACCCAAGTCTGCCAACACCTTCTCCCGCGGCCGACCCCCATCTTCACCATCTCGGAGCACTCCAAGAAAGCCGCTCGTCACTATATTGGCCCATTTCTACAATCGAGGTCGTCGCGGGCTGTCGTGAACTTGGATTACATTCACCATCAACATACTTCTGGGATTACTTCAAACTGTGATTCTTTTGTCCAAATACATATTTGTCAAAAAAATTTCGTTTAAAAGAAAAACTACTTCTTAATATACTTTCTATTAAACCAAGATCATCACACATTGAGTGAAGTCAATAATAATTGCAACTAAAAAAGCACTTCTTCTATCATATTTGCTTCATTGTGATTGATTTCTCTATCGCATCTACCACTTCAGCCTCATCTCTTTCTGCAATGTGACTTACGAGATTATAGCTAAAACCAAAACAGATTGAAACCTCTTCTTGACAAATTGATCTCCCCTTTCCAAGCAGCTTTCATTCGAGGGACTCTTCTTGGAGTAAAGGAATTTACCACTGATTCTACCATGTGGAACGCTATCTTGATGGCAGTGAGATAATCTCGCAAGGAACCTGCTTCATCTTGTGCAAGGAGAAAGAATATTACGTAAACTCGGTCTACGCAGACCAACACAATCATAGCCATTTGAAGACCACGATCTTTTCATTCTAACGACCATGATCAATCTTGGATTTCATATAGCGCATGAGAAACAAACTGCAGGCTACAATTTGCACCATCGATTCAACAAAGTGTTTAGGACTCGTAAATGCATCGTATAGAGAGCATGTTAGAAGAGCCGAGCACCAAAGCAAGTGCAACCTGAATTGACCTCATCTTCACTGTGATATACCTCCCCCAATTCGTAATTTTAAAAGGTTAGGCCCAAAGCCCAGCGTACCTACTGACGTGGTTTAGTACATGACCCTACTTATATCTTGAAGGGAAACTTTGGACCAACAAGGACATCTAAGACCCAAAAGGAAAACCCTAATTTTGATGATTTTATTTTTAGTACTTGACCTATATCAAAAAAAAAATTGAGTTGATTTTTCGAATTAAAAGACAAACTCTATATTTTAAATAATGAACGTGACAAAAAGCTTGCATTACACGCCTAGTGGATTTCATGTTCCGATCGAGAGATGATGGGATGGATGGGATCCATAGGAAAGCGGAAATCGTGTCAAAAGTCATGTTTTTTTTGTGAGAGCCGGTGTTCAGTCTCGGACTTTCGCTATTTTCTCATATGTGATTGGCTCCATTAAACTAAACCTATATAATAACTTGATTGTAAGGAACATTTTTCCCTCCAACATTAGATCGGCTGGTCTCCCTCAAGTAATTTTAAACGGTAGCTTATCGACGCAATTTTACTCGGTTTTACTTCACAAGGAGAAGTAAGCCTCGGTGTCCTTGAAGTTTCATTTCTTATGAACGAGGGAGCATTTGTTAAGCAAGCAATTAAGAAATATTCACAATTTCCAATGCACCGACTTTTAATCGCTACCATCCTTTTTAAGTATATTTAATCAGATACTTGTTCACACGACCTTGACAATACAGCTTTGTGTCTTCTTCTACAAGAAGTTGGATAGGCCTGTCCAAAGTGAGGGCCGTTCATAAACAGGCTGTTGGGCCCATTTCCTTATTCACTCTCTCTTTTCTCATTTTGTTATAGCCGTGCAATATTGCAGTATGGCCTTTGAAGCTCGAAGCTTGACATTTGTATGCATTCATCACTTTGTCCTTCAAATTTATTTGAGCCACTTTTACTCTTTGGACATGCTCCAGTTTGGTGTGAAAACTCTAAAAGTGTTATAACTAAGCGACTCGATTCCATCTTATCAAAAAACAGACAGGTTTAACTGAGGCTCCGTTTGTTTTCGCGGAAAATAAATGATTTGGAAAGTATTTTCCTAGAATCGATCACTTGTATCGCTTGAAATAATTAGTCAATGGATAATGTTTTCATTATCATCGACAATATACGTCTAAACATTTCCGTGGACAATGAAAATATTTTTCGTTTATTTGTTTTTGTAAGCAAAACAATCAATCGTTTTAGAAAAATGTTTTCCAGATCATTTATTTTCCGTGAAACAAACGTGCCTAAAGTTCTACGATCAATGATCCATAAATAAAATCTTTCTACAAAAATAAAACACACAAAATTAACTAAATTCAATTAAGAAAGCACGAAACACAAAAGCCTGAAACTAGATGGAACCCCACTTACCACATGTTAGACACCGCCATAAAATTCAAAAAAGCTTTTGAAAGGATGGAAGAAGACGATCCATCTTTTGTGGGTGAGCTTAACAATGATCTTCCTAAAGATGATGATTGGAAAATGTCATTGTTCTTTTGAAATTTCTAAAACAATTCTATGATGCCACCAATCGGATGTCGGAAAGTTCATATAATACTTCAAATGATTACTTTGATGGGATAGCTCTTTTGTATAAATATCTGAAAGATGTGGCGGCAGATGCTTCGGATCCTAAACTTCAAACTATGGGTAGGAAAAGGAAAGGAAAATTTGACAAATATTATGGGAGTTTGGACAAAGTGAATATGATGGTGTTGATTGCGGTTGTGTTAGATCCTAGAGCCAAGTTGAATTATGTAAATTTCTTGTATGGACAAATTTATGATGATGAATCGAAAGTTAATGAGATGCATTATAAGGTGAAGGACGCGTTGGAGCGTTTTGTATGAATTTTATGAGCAATCTTCTCTTGCTTCAAGTGATCGAAATTTTGGTGTCCAGGGTTTGAGTGCAAGTAGTAGTGGTTCTAATACCGATGTCGGTGGTCACGAAGTTAAGAAGAAGTATGACCACCAAGCTTTTCGGAGAACCTTTATGCACTCGAATCAAACAGAGTGCGATGACAACAAATCTGAGCTTGATCGGTATTTTCAAGATAAAAATAAAAATATTCTTGATCTTGACCTTTTGATGTGGTTGAAGACTAGCGGCTCAAAATATAAGATACTATCTTTAATGGCTCGAGATGTTTTGTCTATTTCCCTAACTACTGTTGCTTCATAGTCGACTTTTAGTACATCGGGCCGTGTGCTTGATGGCTTTCGAAGTTCTTTGACACCCAAAGTAGTGGAAGCTTTGATTTGTACTCAAGATTAGTTGAGAGCCATTCGTGTGTCGATTAATGTTGAAGAGTGCATAGAGAATGCAGAAAAATTTGAGTTGGGTAAGTGATGTTTTTATCTTTATATTGTAATTCCTTTTATATATCTAATAAGTGACTTTTTAATTTAGTTTCTTTTTTTATATATATATATGGATTGTCTTAACGAGGAGATTATCGTCGGTAAATAAAGTTTACCAGTTGAAGAATGAATATATGTGGTGAGACTTTCTAATACTTATTTTATTTTACCAGTAAATTAGATATGGATTGTCTTAATACTTTGATTTTCTTTGTTCTTATTTTTGTCCATTGTTGAAGGAGCAGCTAAGGTCGTGTTATGTGTGATTCTGCCAATGGTTTGTGTGTGCCTTTGACCTTGTGGTTGTTTAAAGGACGAAGAAATTTAATGGAGAATATGCCAAAGTGACTATTGATGTAGCTAGCAAGGATCACCTAGAGGGGGGTGAATAGGTGATCTAAAACAATTTTTAGTAATTTATGCGGAAACAAAATAAATCACAGAAGAGTCTGAATAAAATTCAGATTCAAGACGATTATATAGATCGTGCTCTTGATGTGCGGAATGTAAAGTAAGAGATAAGGGATAGAGAATCGCACACAAGTTTATAGTGGTTCGGCTTATAGCAAGCCTACGTCCACTCTCCCACGCTTACTGACCTCTACCGGGCTGGATTTCACTATGTAATCAAGAGGAGTTACAACTTCTGAGTGTTTACACTCTTGTGTATGATAGGACTCTCTATCTCACACAATCACTCTTACAAAGTGTTCCTCAAGATCTTAATATTTGGCTCCGAATGACAAGAGAAAAATGATTGGATTAAGCTCGGACTTTGGACTTGTTGATTCTTGATTCCGTACTTCCTTCCGCTCGCTCGTTGATCTCCTTAAATACTCCTCTCGCTTCCAAACTAGCCGTTGGACAGCTTTCAGAGGATCATCTTCCAATCTTTACCTTGGACAGATTTGTATAGTAAGGATTGAGTAGCCGTTGGTTGACAGATTCTGAATCCCGCTGATTCTGGTCGCCCATACAATCGAATCTTGGTTTCCATAAGTAGAACTTTGTCCGTTGTAATGCATTCTTGTCATGATGTTTGATTGTCAATCGTTTGATTCGGATTGAGACAATCGAACATTCCTTCGTGAAATCCATGCCGGATCACTAGCTGTTGTGTTACGTTCGAATTCTGCGTCTCGAAGATATTCCGCGTCCGCATCGAAGAACTCTGCGTCTCGCGTCGAAGAATTTCTGCGTCGAATAATTTCTTCAGCGTCGACGAATTTCTTCGTCGAATAATTTCTTCTGCTCGCATCTCGCATTCGAATAACTCTCGCATCCGCATCCG